CTGTGGAAGGAGCCTGTCAGGCAGACAGTGCAGGAGTTAACCATGATGCCCTACTTTCCAGTATGTTCCTACTACTAAGACAGAGCAAGACCCAGGGTGGGCTGGGCATTGGTAGTAGAGTTGTATTCTGGGGTCTCTTTGTCTAGAAGTGTTTAGCCTGTGTATTAGGAGGTGAAAGGCAAGTAATTTGTATAGAAATGGGTGGCCGCCATGGAAGTGGGGGTGAAGATCCTCAAGACAAATATACAGAGGAGAGAAGAGGACAGATTACTCAGTTGGTGAGAAGACATAGCAAGAAGAATCTGGAAAGAGGGTTGGAAAGGAGACATTAGAGATGTAGAAGGGGAATGAGGAGGACATAGCATCCCATCAAGTCAGGAAGGAGCGAATAAACAGTGCATTTCCTGAAAATCACAGATAAGGAGTGAGAAAAGAAATGATTGGTAACCATGGCCCCTGGGGGAGGCAGCCACGTGGTCAAGTGTTGCTATGCACACCCCACATTGCACATCCCTGAAGGTGAGGTCACCATTCACAATTTTGTCTGTGTGGATGATCCCTGGAGTTGCACCATGCCTCACCTGGGTGGCTTGTGGGAACCGCCCCACTGGTGTGAACCCTGCCAGCCAAGGGATGAAGGCAGAAGACCATCACTAGCCGTGAGAGTGAAGAGATTAGGTAGGGGCCAGAGCCCCCGAAGGTGCCCCTTGAAAAGTATTCGGTAGTTAGGGAAAGAAAGGAAAGTGTGACTATAAAGGCTTGAGGAAAGAGCCATCATGATTTCCACTTGAATTATAGCTTGATCTTGAGAGACTGGGCCTGACTTAGGGAAGGGGGAAATTAGCCAAGTGAGAGCTGTGACAGATGAGGAGGAGGAGGAGAGGGAGGAGGAGGAAGAAGAAGAAGGGGGGAAAGGAACCCAGTCACTCAGAGACAAGTATTTGAGTGTCTTCACCCTTTGCTGGACCATGGTTGTGGAGAGAGGGCAGCTTCCAGACTCACAGAACTTACATTGCTTGTATGAGCAATGCCTCAGGCTCTTGGATAGCCAGTGAAGAGCAGGGTTCCTCTGGAGCTGGAGTGGCATTCCTTGATGGGATGACCTTTGTGTGAGCAGAGTGCCCATGAAGACCAGGGCAAAGGTCATCCTTGGCTTTGACTTTAAGAGATGGGAAGAGTGCAGCATGGCTGGGTGAGAGCCAGCAAAGTCATGATGTGTGACCAGAGACCATAGCATCAAATGAGTCAGGCTTCTCAAAGAGAAGACACTCCCATGGGGGGTGGGTGGGTCCAGTGATGGGTGTGCATGATACATCATTCACCTGAGCCTGGGGTCTGTTTGAGGGCCTTAGCCAGCCTCCCAGACTGAACACTTCCAGTTTGAACAAAAGCCTTCTTCCAAGTCAGCCCTCGGGACTACAGCCTACCAGAGTCAAGACGAGCTTAACTTCATAGCTTTCTGTGAAGGTTTCTGAGTCAGGCCAATGCTGCGTGGGAGAGGAGGGCACAAATGAGTCTGTCAGTATTCCTACAAAGACACAGATGCACTGATCTTTCCACATAAGGCAAACACTGCTGCCTTCCTGCTCTGTTGCTGGGCCCTGCCTTTCATCCGATACCTCTTCAACCTTCACACTATCAGGATGCCTCTCAAACTTCTTCTTGTGGTATTCCCTTGCCTCAGCTCAGAAGTTACACCCTTTTTCATCCCCATGAAGATCTCAAGTTCCTTAATGCACGAATTATCAAGAAGGCAATCTGATGGAAAGAATTCACATTGAAGTATCAGCCAGCTGGTATCACTGCCACACTTGCAAATTAGAGGATTTACTGAGAATATTTAGGATATATTTTCACCAAGGGATGAGCTTTAGAAAGACAGGAGCAAGATTTGGAAATGGGGCCCCTTTATTAGAATGCTGGCATAGGCTTGAAAGCAAACCTCTGTGTTAACAAATGAACTTGGAAGTAGCAGTGTTGTCCAAGGGAAGAGAGTTCCAAAGCAGCGCTTGACAGTGCGCAGGTTCCCAATCCAGCTTCTCTGGTTAGGGTTAAAAATAGCACATACTGTCCGTATAAAAAGCCGCAGATGCACAACTTGAACAGCCTCTGTGTATGTGTTTCCTGACTTAGTCTTTATGATATAGGTGCTACTGTCGTTTCCTTTCAGGAACACAGACTGATTTCCTTAGTCTTATGCTCGTACTTTTAAAATGTGGCATGCAAGCCCAGGCTGTCTGAGTCCAAGAGTTGTTTATCCTCTGTGCCACACAGTCACGTCTTGCCCTAACATGGTGGCCCTTGACCTGGCCAGGGCATGTGACAATTAGTTACAGCTCTTCCATGTACCAGGCCTTTCTCCAGGCCTCAGTTTTCTTATCTGAAGAACAGGGAGGTAGACTAATCACTAAAGAGAGTGAGTACGCCTGGGTCAATGAAAGTTTTGCCTCATGTATAAACGTCAGCTGGGTCTCCAGCTCCATTCCTCAGAAAGAGGTCATGCTGAGGTGATGAGAAGCACCCCCACTGGTTGAGCATCAGGCAAGCCCACCAATCCAAGAAAGATATGACATGTAGGGGTTCCTACTAAAGCTAGGGCTTTGGGGTTGGGTGGCAGGGCAGTCTTGCTTTCCTAGCAGGCCTGAGCTCAACCAGTGAGTGACAGGGTCTCCTCCACAGCCCTGCCCAAGCTGCTTTCAAGGTGGGGCAAGTTGGGAGTGTTTCTCCTTCTTCTGGTGAGAGCCAAGAGGTCAGGAGGAGTGTAGCAGTGACAGATGGAATCTGCAAACTTGTTTGGAAACACCCTTTTCAAGCGCACCCTGAGACAGGATTAAGAGAACAGCTTTGGCCCGTTTTCAGGATTGTCATCTGCTGAACACCTCCAAGCTCATTTGAAGGAAGTGACAGAGAGACTGAGGTTTCAAATCAGGGCAATTGGCCTCCCCGCCTCTGCCAGCCTGCAGAAAACAAAAGCTCTCTTGTAGGAAAGCGACACAGCGCCATCTCCCGGCTGACTCTTGCCTGGCCCTTAGGGGCCTCTGGTCAAAGTCAGGACTCTTGTACTTCAAGGACTTTGACAAAAAACTGCTGGAGGGAAGGCATGCCCTGCCTTCAGGAGCTGGAGTGGAGGCATGAGAGTTGTATGCATGCTCAGATCACAATGTGGACATGCACATTGAAAGACAATTTGAACACCAAGTATGATTAACCCATTTTGTGAGCCAAAATTCCTCTACTTATAGTCAGCCTCCAAGGTTAAAATCATTGTGATTGAGGCTATGCACTCTGGAGCCAGTGTGTCTGGGTTTGAACCTCAAGTTTTATCATTTGGTAGCTGTCAAGTTTTAGGCAAATTACTTAGCCTTTTGGGGCTGCTTTCCTCTCCTATAAAATAAGAACAATGTATAACAGTACAATGAGGTTATAATAGTACATATTATAATAGTACAATAACTACACTAAGACTATTTTATTTCAAGATAGGGTTTCTCTGTGTAGCTCTAACCATCCTGGAACTCACTCTGTAGAGCAGGCTGGCCTCAAACTCACAGAGATACGCCCGCCTCTGCCTCCCAAGTGCTGGGATTAAAGGTGTGCACCACCAATGCCCAGTTTACTAAGACTACTTTTATCTTAGCTTTAAAGACAGAGAAGTTCTGAGGAATAAATGATTTATATGTATGGTACCCAGCCCATGTAACACCTATTACTATTTTTATCAAATGGGATTATGTACTGTAAGTACACCACTATAAATAGCTAATAAATGTTCAGTGTCACAAACAAGAAAAAAAAAAACAAGAACAATGGTGCTATTCACTTCAGCACCGTGTGGATGTGGGTGAGGTGGTACAGCGTATGGCCTATGATAATCATTCGGTGTGTACTAGCTGTAATTATTCAACTAAGTATGGCTCGAATGCATTTCCACCTTCTATAGACTCACCCATCAAACTTCTTTCTAATTTTTGGTGGTCAATATGTCCCAGGCAGAGAAAGTTACTGTTAAAGGCACAATTTTTGTCAACAAGGATGCTACCCAAACTCTACATTACCTGTAGCAGATATAAGAGTCATGGTTGTGGAACTCCTGTGTCTTTAGTCTTTATTAAGTCAAGCTAGCAAGGCAGCAGCTTGTTGATGTTGTAGACTGACTGACAACACTCTGGAGTACTGGCTGGATATGTCCTTTCTCCAATGTAGGGCAAGTTTTCATGCTGGGTTTTCCTACTTTCACCTGATAAGTATCCTGGGGAAGCCAGCTATGTGGAGAAGGGTTCTATTCCTAGTCCTCCTGCCATATTGCAGCCACAAGCATCTTGAAAATCCCACCGTAGGTGGGATGCTCACAGATACCGATGGAAAAATTCTTTCCACCTATAAAACCAATGGCGAGGACACAGGCTGCCAAAGTCAGAGGCTGGCCTTCCCAAGGTCAACCATAAATCAAGGTGACCACATGTCACAGAAACCAGCTCTGGAGTCCTGATGGGGTGTGGGACCTGATGACAGGGGATTATCTCTTCCCATCCCGTCTGCTGCCAGGGAAGCCAGGCATGTGCCTGCTCATTGCCACCAAGGAAGCCTTCCCGCTGTTTAATGAGGGCTAGCTTGCCCTGGGAAGGAGTGCCTGGCCTGCACATCTGTCTCATCAAAGGGGTCAGAGGCTTTGGACACAAAGGTCTCTCAGACCTCCATTCTCTGGCCTTTATCACTCCCAGAAGCCATCCTGTTAACGTGCTCAAACAGCCGTGACTTTGCCTCTGCTGTGTTTGGAGAGCTCAGCCTAGTGAAGAGGGAGGAGCCAGAGGGAGAGAGCCCTTTGAGTCTCTCAGACTTCGCACTTGACTGCCTCTCCTGAGGAGGACTGAACCATGACTCAACTGGGTTAGAATGTTTTGTTAGCCAAACCTTGTTTTGCTTTAAAACCACCCAGGTCTCAAGAAAATAGCCTCCAGGGAACTTGGAGGGGAGCTGCCTCACATACAATCTGTTTACAGGGGACCCTAGAAGCAAGCACCAGCCAGGAGGCCTCATCCTGATGGCTGTGCACCTGGAGGTCATGAACCTTTTGCAGAAAATGAAGACACATTAATGTTTCCAGTTGGAAGGACTGAAAGGAAGGTAAGGCTGCCCCTGCTATGGAGCTGTAGAGTTCCAGCTTCACTTGGGGTTTAGGAGTTGAGCTCAAGGCTTCACCTCTGTGCATCTCACCTTCCTCATCTACCAAGGGGATTAGCAATACAACTGTGAGTACTACATGACAAATGACGAAACCTGGTTCATCTTCTCTCATGCTCAGCGCATGGCCAGGTATCAGATACTTAAGAAAACATGTCAGAAAAAAGTTAGCTCATTAAATGTCTTTCCATTGAAATGGCTGTTGGCTCATTTTCGTTTTGTGAACATGTCAACAATTGCTACCTACCTTCCTGATGGCGGTGGTGGATGTGACATGTCTTAATTATGTGGTAAAAGAAGCCTTCTGGTAGCTGCAGCAATGTAGCTTAAGAATTGTGCTAGAAAGGGTCCTTAACCAGGCCAGGTAACAATGGCATGAGAATGTCCAGTATACTCTGGTGGGCAATCAACGCCCTATAAATGATAGGCTCAGCTCTCAATTCCTTCTCTCCACATGGACTGTCTCAGACTGTGGTACAGTTGCAATACTGAGAACGGTATGCAGCACAAATTAAATTAAAAAGAGAAACAAGAGCAGGCCATGGTGGTTCACACTTTAAATCCTAGCACTCGGGAGGCATAGGCAGGCAGACCTTTGTGAGTTTGAGACCAGGCTGGTCTACAGGTCTACAAAGTTCTAGCACAGCTCAAGCTATGGAGAGTGGCCTAGTCTCAAAACACCAAAAGTGCCATTGATTTATGGATATTCAAAGCCTTGGATATCAACTCAGTTCTTTCTCTCCAGCTTAGGGGAAGCAATTTAGAAGATAACATGACTAGAAGAATAATCTTGAATCTGCTTTAAAGTTGTTTAAAACTCATCTAACACAGATCGAGCCATCATCAGTAACACATTATTTGAGAATAGACTCAAAAATGGAGTTAATCAGAAGTCCTTTAAAACAAGAGTGCTCTTTTATTTTTGAGGTTACTTAAAGTGTGTATCAATTCCCTATGGGTAGTGTAACAAATGACCACAAACTGAGTGACTTAAACCAACGCAGGTTTATTATCTTATAGTTCCCATGGTCAGAAATCCAACATGGTTGCTGGGACATGCAGCTCAATGGTACAGTTCTTGACCAGAATGCATGAGGTCCTAAGTTCATGATCCAGATGTCCAATAAGGACTTCAGTGGCTAAAGTCAAGGCTTGGCTGTATTTTGTCTGGAAGCTCCAAGGGGAGAATTTCCTTGTTTCCACAGCTTTTAAAGGCTGACTCATTTCTTGATTTGTGGTGACTTTCCATTTTCAGAGCCAGTGATAGTGGCTGGGTCTTTTTTTTACAATACCACCTCTATGTTCTGACATTTATCTCTCTCTCTTCCTCTCTTCTATTTATAGTCTATGTGATTGCACTGGGTCCCCTCCCATCAACTCCCATTCTAAAGATCAGGCAATGGACCGCCTTAACTCTTTGCTCTCCACTTGCTGTGTCACATAAGATAGCCATGGGTCCGAGTAACTAAGATATGGACATGTTTGGTGGTTAAGAGGTAGCATCTTGGCTACCATATAGGATAAACTTGGAATGTGTCAAAAAATAACTTGAAATCTATTCACACATGTTGTTGCTTTAATCACTATCATTAGCAAGTACCCAGTTAGCCACTTCACAGCTGATATGATGGGGGTCCTTGGGTCCTGGTGAGTGCATTAGCCATGTGAAAAGATAGGATGGCATGGCAATTTTACCCTAAAACAACAACATATTCAACTGTAGGAACTGTTCTTTTCATGTTAGAGTGATGACAGCAGATGCCAGTCGGCTTATTTTCAATCCACTTGGTGGATGTAAAAGTTGATGCTTCAGCAAGACAAGACTTTCTGGGAAGGAGGAGGTCTTGCTGGTCTGGGTGGAAACTGTTCGAAGCCTGCACCAGTTGAAGCATCCGAGCCTAGAAATCACCTTTCAGCCTTTCCCACTCTGCCTCTTGCACATCTCTCAGGGTGCAGAGTATGGAACCCACAGAGCCCAGGCCTCTCCTCTGGCCTGCGATAACTGCTGCTCCATTCTGCCAGCCATAGACTCTCCCAGAACTGAATGAACTATCATTTGTAAGCATAAAGTTTAGTAGCCTTAAATGCACTCACACAGTCACGGACCACTCTTCCTTACTCTTATTCTATAAAACTGGACATTTAGACCTCCATCTAGGCCTGGTAACCACCGTTTTACTTCATTTATCTGTGAATTAAACTACTCTAGGTAACACAGACAAGTGGTTACGTGACACTTGCCTTTTGTGACTGCTTTGTTTCACTTAATTAAATGTCCTCCAAGTCCATTCATGTTGTAGCATATGTCAGAATCCCCCCTTTACAGTGCTAATATACTATTGTATCTTTGTGTGTAACATTTTGTTTAGCTGCTCCTCTGTCAATGAACGCCTGGTTACTTTTGCCTTTCAGATATTGATAATGATGCTGTTACGAGTATAGGTGTCCAAATATCTCTTTGAAATGCTCCTCTGAGTTCATTTGAATGTGGGTCACAGTGTTTTGTGAGCCATCACCATTCTCCACAGCACCTGCGAGCGAAAGCACAAACCTGTATTTAAATGCACAGAGGGCTTCTCCTCACAAGGCCGAACAGTGTTGAGTAAACCAAGGACCTGAGGAAATGCAGGCCCACAAAATCACCACAGGTCATGCTAGAAGATACAAACCAGAGATCATCTGTGCCATTGGTTCTTAGGGAAGGTGTTGACCTGCCAGAGTTCAATGCCAGATCAGAAACCAAGTTACAGCTCTGGTTCAGTGTTCTCCCAATCCCACAACACTCTCTGCCTGCTTACACAGAAGGGAATCTGTGTCCAGAGCTGGGAACGAGGTCCAAAAAGGCTGACAAAATGTTTTGTTGGCCCTGAGCTCTAAGGCTGTAGGCCAACGTGTCCTCCATGGAGAGTGAGCAGAAGGTGAGGGCCTAGGAGTCTGGAGTGTGGAATCTGATGGTTTTCTTATCTCTAGCGTTGGTCTGGCTTCTGTGAGTCTTAGAGGCCTATGTGTAAAACAAAGGGGCTGTGAATTAACTTGGGGAGTTTATTCATTTGTCCAGCACATATTTATTCAGAGCCCTCCCTAGCTACACATCCTGCAGCTCTTGAAGATACAGTAATTTTAAAGGAGTAATGAACACATGTAGTGCTGTCTAGGCCAGACACTGTGCTGAGATTTTTGTTTTTACGTGTGTGGGGGGGGCGGGGGGCACATGCATGCCACAACGTGTGTGTGTGTGTGTGTGTGTGTGTGTGTGTGTGTGTGTGTGTGTGGGGGTGAAAGGAGAATAGGGGGGGGGTGGACAACTTGTGGAAATTGGTTCTCTACCTTCATCATGTGAGACTTAAGGATCAGACTCATGTCACTTGATGGCAGGTGGCTTTACCTGCTAAGCCATCTCCCCTGCTCAAGAATTGTCCATACAGCAGGGTGTTGGTGGCACACGCCTTTAATCCCAGCACTCGGGAGGCAGAGGCAGGCGGATCTCTGAGTTCCAGGCCAGCCTGGTCTCCAGAGCGAGTGCCAGGGTAGGCTCCAGAGCTACACAGAGAAACCCTGTCTCAAAAAAAACAAAACAAAAAACTTAACAAAAAATAAAACAAAACAAAAAAAACCAAACAAACAAAAAACCCCAAAACAAAGAACTGTCCATACATATTAGTTTGTTTAAGCTCTAGAACAGCTGTAGGGGGTGATACTGCTAGGATTACCATTTTATATTCGAAAACCCTGAGAGAAGTAAGGTTCCTTGTTCAACCACACAGAGAACATTAGAGGTTCGTGCAGGATCCAAACCCAGTGCACTGAGCAAAGGCTGTGTGTTCAACTTCTTAGGACCTAATCCTCAGGAAAGTCACACCCCGGGTGATAATACCGATTCCTATTTACTAAACATTTATCACATGCCCAATCATGCCAAACGCTTTATACCCTGGCGGCATTTACTAATTTATTGTTGTTAGGGTTCAAACTCAGAATCTCATGCATGTTAAACATACCTCTAAGGTCTGTATTTAAACCTCACATGAGAGGGGAACAATGGATGAGAAAATTCATGCCAAGATTTTACAGTCTGACTGAGAAGTATTATATCCTTGCTCTGCCCTCCAGTCCAGGGTTTGACTGAGCAGCAAATGAGATGAGATGTGGAGGTAGGGTTTGGGCAGCATAGGCTGCCTGGTCATCTCCTATGTGGAGTTTGCCCTACAGGCTGGCCTTGCTCTGTGGAGGCATCCCAGAATCGAGCTGGCATGTTGGCTGTATTGGGCTGCTGAAGAGGTAGGTGGTGGTCAAAGCCCCTGGGATGAACTGTTACAGCAGCCTCTATGTGGACACGAGCAGAGACCACTTTCACACTGTGGTTTCAGAGACCTTCCCCTGAAAGTCTCCATCCCCCCAGACTAACTGATGCCTAACACCCTTAACTGCTGTTAACGCCCTCCTGCACCTCTGGCATAAATGGTCTGCCCAGACCTGTTCCTGAGAGCAAATTCTGGGGCATAGCCTGTCAGCCTCACACAGACTCACAGAGAAGGCTAGAGAAGCCCCGGACTGCCTGCAACCATGCTGGGGGTTTAGAAGAACAAATGAACGGACAAATGAGCTGATGGACAAATGAATGAATCAAGCCCACCTAATCAATGAAAGGAAGAACAAAGGCACGACCAGGGAAAAAAGAGTAAGACAGACTAGTCCTGCCTCAGCCCAGCCTGGGTTCTGACTACAGTTCGTAGGTGAAGGATGGACATTAACAAGCAGCACCAGGGCTGCGGTGTAGCTCAGTGATGGAGTATGTATTGTTTATCATGCTTGAGGCCCTGGGTTTCACCCCAGCACCCCCCCCACCAACCACCATCACCAAGCAGAACAGAATTGCAATTCTAAAGCTATCCCATTTGAGATTCCAAAAAGGGGACCCAGAAACCATCATCTAGGCATCCCCCTCCTGGAATCCTCTGGAAAAAGTGCCAGTCATTTTCCCCTTTGCCTCCAGGACAGGATTAGAGGGGTGCCTGATGCTTCCTCCCATTGGTACCCATGTGAGGGAAGGGTCCTCCCCCACTCCCTGCCCCCTCTGGGAAGCCACACAGAACTCCAAGTTAATTAAAGCCTCCACTCTGAGAAGAAGGGAATGTTCCATTTGGTAAATTTAGAAACAGCTGGTTAGTTTCAGCCATTACTTTTGTGCTAACATCAGTGGAGTTCATTCAGCTCTGTCTTTTCATGAAGCTGTCCTTCCAAGGCTACCTGATAGCTACTAATTGCTGCAACTACATTTCTGAATTGCAAATTTTCTGCACTGATAAAAACTTTGATTGCCTGTCAGCTACACATAAGGAAAAGATCAGCAGTGCTAAATGAGGGGTTCCACGCTTGGATAATAATGCCTAATGAATTATTCAGGAAAGAATGCTTGAATGAAGCAAACAATTTGAAGGGTTACTAGCAGCCGTAACAGTTCAACAGGCAAAAGAACAAAAGTATCATCCTGAACATTACACTAATGATTAAAAAATGCGTATTAATTCTAGATTTGGAGAAAAAAGAAATGCCAACCTGATTTTAAAGGTTAATCATTATTTTCTCAGTAATGCTCTGATCTCTGGTATGGGGGGTTGGTGAAGGGGAAGAACCCTTTACCAATATTTTGGGATGTGTAATATTATGACATAATAGAGTCATATAATTTCACACACATCATTTAAATATTGTAAATTTCAAATTTCATTGCAAAAGATCACACACACACACACACACACACACACACACACGAACCTAACAGTGTGGCAGTAGAATGCTCACTCAAGAGAACTTTGTTCACTACTCACTGCACCAGAGCTAAGGATCCCCTCCTTTAAGCAAGGGGCCCTGTAGAAACAGCAAAATGAAATAAGATGTATGTGATTAAACATATGCAAATACATATCATAATTAGTGACTCTTTCTGGCGGAATTCGAATGTGTTTTACACATTTTGCAAATGCGTTGATGATACCATTAGAAAATTCTCTTAAAGGCTTCTGCCCATTGGGTCTGAAACCCAAGAAAACAAACCAATAAATCAGCTTTTAGCTCCTGTCCAATACTGACACATTTGCTGCTTTCATAAAAAATATATTTCTACCACCCAAAGTGCTAATTTGTTTTGACAGATGCTGTGGAATTGCCAAATATGGGGGGGGGAAGTCCTGGAAACCATAATGCAAAACTGTATAATTAGAGATGTTAAAAAAAATAGGAACACAACCACTGAGATATTATGATGGATCTTGATGTTTAAAAATAGCTTCTGGGGGCTGTGCTTAGAAGTCTCAAGGCAATCAGCTCACCAGCAGAGCATCTTTGGAAGGCATGGTATGGTACCAGGACAATTGTAAAAGTAGTGTTTAATTGCTAAATATGCTGCCAACCACTTAGCAGTTCAATGAGATTTCCCCCCAACTCAAAAGCCTATGGTATTAGTCATCAATTAGTAATTTTATTATAAAGATGTTTAATGTCAACACAACACTCTTCATTGCTGGCTGTGACACTGTGAGGTGGTGGCTGCGATGTCTGATTCAGAAGACTGACCATCTGCCAGTGCCTGTGCTCTCACAGCTGACTAATGCTCTCCCCAGAGGACTGGGGCTCCCTGTGTTTCTGTTGCTGTCTTTTTGATATCAAAGTGAGGTTGATAAACACTTTCAAGGCACAATTAAAAAACATTTTCACTGACCAGTTGCTGCCTATGGCATCAGACAGCTTTGTTGTAGTAACAACTTGTTTAATGGTGTTGATGTGCAGACAAAATCAAGTGCCCCTTTATCTGGTCCTTACCTAGCTCTTAATTATCTGTGACTTTTCAGGTCCTAGGAATCATGTGAGGAAATGCCATTTGGTGTACATCAGGCAGAGAGGCAAGACAAACGATGGCCTTTTCAGGTTAAGGCTACAGGCTGGAAGATCCATGTAAGCTAGAACTTACTCTATGAGTTACATAATATGTGGTTCAAATCAACCCAGCCACTGAGCTGTATCCTTATATGCCAATGGGTAAAGCCTGGAATGAAGATCAAAACTCTCTACTGTCTTTTTAAAGAAAAAAATCAGATTGTCCCATTGTGATTCTATTTGCATTATATGAAAGTGTCTTAGTTACTTTTCTATTGCTGTGATAAGACACCATAACCAAGGCAACTTCTAGAAAAGCTTATTTGGGGCTCGCTCTTTCAGAGGGGTAGAGTCCATGACCATCATGGCAGGGAGCATGGCAGCAGGCAGGCAGACATGACACTGGAGCAACAGCTGAGATTTCACTTCTTGAGACACAGCCACAAACAGAGAGAGAGAGAGAGAGAGAGAGAGAGAGAGAGAGAGAGAGAGAGAGAGAGTGCAGATGGTGCCAGCCTTTTGAAACCTCAAAGCCCATCCCCAAAGACACACCTTCTTTAGCAAAGCTACACCCCCAGTCCTTCCCAAACAGTCTCACCAGCTGAGGACAAATGTATGAGTCTGATGCAAATCAACACGGAAGTTACAAACTCTTAGCTCAAAGCAAGAATGACACCTTGACTGAACCCCAGGACTTTGTGTGGTAAATGGGAGGGGAGGCCTCAAAGTGGAGCAGTTAATGTGCTAGAGGCTACTCAGGCAAGGCTACTCAATCTACAAAGCAGATACTATCTTTAGTGGTTTTTCTTTCTGTTTTCTGTTTATAGAAGAAAAAAGAAGTGATATTTCAAAAAGTCAAGTTTCCCAAGACTTGAACCAGAGTCTCCCTGATGTGCTTCACCTTTGGGCATATAGAAGAGGAGGGAGAGTGGGTACAAGACTTGAACGTCATGCAAACCTTTACTTTTCAAAGGAAACCAGGCTTCAGGAATGTGGAGAAAAGAGCCTAAGAATCATTGTCAGCTGATAGCAGGACTGAGATCCACAACTCCTCCCTTTGTACCCCCTCAGCGCTCTCTTAAGAGCTGTGCTGCCCAATAGGACAAAAGTGGGAGGAGCCCCTACTTTATCTTACTCATGAAAGACCTTGGGAAACTCCAGGCCGTATCCAGCACCATTGGACTTCTACAAGTACCTGGTCTCAGCATTTGGAAGACTCTGAGCCTTGTGAGGCACATGGACTTGATTCCTGTCATTGGTGTGTCTGCTCTTGTAAATCTGTCTTCAGTAGTGGTGACATTGTCACACCTCCCAAAAATTCAGCATATGCTCTACTGTTGCATGTACTCATTTATTCTCACTCTTGTAAGTAGATAACATTATTAACCTTCATTCTACAGCAGGGGCACTGAGTGCAGGGGTGCTGATAACCTTCTCCAGCTACTCATAGCAAAGACTGGCTTTAAACCAGGCAGCATGGCTCTCGAACCTGTCTTGCAACTATCAGTATCAGTGGATGTCAATAAAGTGACACCAGAGTGACATGATCATTTCCCCCAGTGTAGAGACACTTTGATCTACATTCATTAAACTCCTGACTATGTTTAATGCTCAAAGTAGGAAAGGGCTTCTTTCTTTTCATGATATAAGAGAATCCATGCCATAAAGAGCTCAGCCATTAGTAACAGGACACTAAACTTGGATGGGCTGGACCCACAATGCAGCTGAGTTGCTGGATTGCTTAGGTCCTTTGTTCTGTAGACTGGTGCCTCTCATCTCTCCTGAGGAGTAATAGAGCTCTTTGAAGACTTATTTTATTTTTAGAAGGTTGATTCATTTCTTAATATTCATCAATCTAGGAACATCGATGGGCTTTGGGGTATTTACAGTTTCTAATACTCAGACCCCAGGACACATTCATTCTTTCTAGCTCCTGTGAATCTAGGAGGTGCTGGTGAGATGAGGAACTGTCTGTTAGAATGCTAAATTGATTGCATTCATCCAATCCATATCCCTGTGCAGTGGGATTTGAACCTAAGCTGGGCAAGTGAATTAACCCTGTACCCTCTTGGCCTGCCAGCCCTCTAGGCAAAGCAGGAATCAAATGGAATCCCCCTTATGCTAAGGGGCTGCAGAACTGTCAATCAGAGTGAGAGGTCTCCGGAGAGAACATAATGAGCGGTGGCCCCAGGGCAGGGGAGCCACGTTCCTGAATGTCCTCAGCGGCACGCCGCCATGGAAGCAATGCATGCACTGGCATGTTTCTGGGCTAATAACAAGAGTTTTTGATTTGTTCCTATAATGAAGGATTATGTCTAAGCACACCAGCGAGTAGCAGGAGACTGTCAACACCCAGGTGGCCACTTTTCTAAGAAGCTGAGTGAGAGCATAGGGGTGATTTTTCCAAGGGGAAATGCCTGCCATCCCATCGCCATCCAGGCAGGAAAAAATAATCAGTGAAGGTGATGAGCAGGTAAGGAGAGTTTCAGAAGAACAACGGCCCCTCCAGCCTCTTCTGACTGTGAGTCCATAAGAGAAGGATGAGAAAAAGTAAAGAAATTACCCTCTTTCCATTGACAGCTCTGGGCAGTGTCAGCCTCTGGGTTGTATGGATGCCTTGGGGAGAAAATCCACTTCTCCCACAGTGTCAGCCTCTGAGCAGAAAGAAGAAAGGTGTGTGCTGGGCTTCTGCTTCTCCTCTCTTTCTGTCACCCTTACCAGTGACTTTATCCAGAAAATATTGTGAGCCTGCTCAGAAGCTGTGGAGTTGCAGTGTGTGTGTGTGTGTGTGTGTGTGTGTGTGTGTGTGTGTGTGCGTGTGCTCACATTGTGGCCTTAGAAATAGGGTCTGTTCTCCTCTGAAGTGACCATTTGTTCTTTAATAGGACAAGAGCTTGAGTGCCAGTTCCATCTCTGCCACTTCCTGTCTGTCCCACTGTCTGACTTCCGTCCAGTCCTTATTTACAGATAGACAGCACACTTCCCTCTTTTCTGTGCTATCCTACCAAATGACCACCCTGCAGCCAAGGTGGGTGACCACGCTTCCAAATCAGAGTGAGGCTCCTTATTGGAGAGCTGAACACACGAAATAGCACTAGTGTCTGCTTGCTCTCATTGGCCATCAGACAGCATCATAGTTGCCTCCCCTAGAACTCCAGATCCAGCACAGACCTCCCCTCCTGGGGCTGGCTGGTCGCTCCTGAATTGAATGTCACAAATGCCACTTCGTCTTGGCATGGTGCTAGAAGGAAGATGGAAGAAGCAGCAGGAGTCATCTGTGTTGCTCAGCTCGCTGCTAAGCTTGCTCTTCTTATTCAGTCAACAGTCAGAATCTCATCTGTACCCCACATGCCTCGGAGATACAGAAATGGACCCCAGCCATTTTTACAGTCTGTGACAGTTTGAAGTGCTTGGCACAGTATCTGCTGATTCTAAGGGCTTCTGTTGAGTGGTCTGACTCCAGAGTCTACATACAGTGTTTCTGCCCTTACCACCTGGCCCACCCCTCACCATACGGCCTGAAACCAATATCTCTTTATCTTCATGAGGCATCCTTTAAGCCCAGGGTAGCTTCAGCATTGAGGAAGGAGGCTCAAGGTGGGTTCTGGGGCTTCCTCTCACTCTTTTGTCTTTTTCTTTCTGCTCTTCCTCCTCCTCATCTTTCTCTCTCTCTCTCTCTCTCTCTCTCTCTATATATATATATCGAGCACACGTGCGCGCGCATGTGTGTGTGTTCATGTGTATGTGTGCAGGTTTACTCGTGTGTTTATGTACACATGCGCAGGGAAGCCAGAAACTGACATTAGGTGTCTTTCCCAGTCATTCTCTGCCTTCCCTTTGAGGCCGCCTCACACTGACTAGAGCTTACTGAGTGGGCAGGAGGACTACAGGTGTGTACTGCCATGCCTGGCTTTTTACCTGGGTCTTGGGATTTGAACACAGGTCCTCACACTTGTGCAGCAAACACTTTACCAAGTGAGCCATCTTCCCAGGACCTGGTGTCTTTTCAAAGTGAACCATCAACCACACAGTTGGAGATCCTTTTCTTCCTTTTCTCCCCCCTCCCTTCTCAACCCACGGTGCCTTGTGACATCCCCTTTCTCTAGTATGACACTCCCAAATGGGTCATGACCCACAGGTTGAGAACCACTGGTGTGTAGTAAAGAGATTTAGATGTACCCTCTCAGGTCAAGCTAAGAAAATGGGGGCCGGGAGGTGGTGGGGTACACATTTAATCCCAGCACTTAGGAGGCAGAGGCAAGCAGCTCTCTCTGAGTTCAAGTCCAGACTGGTCTACAGACTGAGTTCCAGGACAACCAGGGCGTGTAATGTAATCCCATTTTATTGTTGAGTTCTAAGTTCTTTGTGTAGTCTAGATCTGAGCCTGTGTAACTGATGTATTACTTCTTGTTCTTTAAAGTGGGCTTCTTTTTATGTAAGTACCAAACTATTTCAAGGACTCACAAGTGGTATGAGTGTTTAGAATTAGAGGATTCTTTGGCCAAGAAAATACATAATGACCAAAGAACCTGTGGTGGTTTGAATTCAACTGGTCCCCATAAGTTCATAAGAAGTGGCACTAGTAGGAGGAGTGGCCTTGTTGGAGGAAGTGTGTCACTGTGGAGGCAGGCTTTGAGGTCCATATATGCTCAAAGCCACACCCAGTGAGACACTTCTCTTCCTGTTGCTTGTGGATCAAGTTGTAGAACCTCAGCTCCTTCTCCAGCACCATGCCCCGCCATGATGGTAGTGAATTAAACCTCTGAAACTGTAAATCACCCGATTAAATGTTTTCATTTGTAAGAGTTGCCATGGTCATGGTGTCTCCTCACAATGATAGAAACCCTAAGACAGAAGCTCCACCCTAAAAAAATACCCCCAACATGTCAAATACAGTTGCAGTTTATTAATCTGTTGGGTGCTAGGCCCATCCAAGAGTTTCTCAGAAGCCCTGATGAAAAGAGAAAGGGGACACTAGTTCTGTGTCCTTGCGCAGGGGCAGGCTTGGCAAGGTCTGGTGTGGGACTGGGGCCAGGGACTTCGAAGGAGTAAAGTTTGGTTCTTGAGAACAGCTTTTCACCCCCATCCCCGGGAGCTGTGGTTATCAGTCCCAAGGCCACTGTGTGCTAAGTCTGTGACATACTTGAGAGATCCTGTGATCCCTTGATGCAACATTTCTTGACAAGATTCCTGCTGACTACATCCTGTTTTTCTTCTGCAAGCAGTATATAAGATGCTGTACTTCTTAATAAACTTGCTGGAATGAAACCAGCTCATGCCACATCTCTTGATTTTAGCTTTCTATTTTCTTATCCCTGGTCTTCCCCATCAATACCTCACCATTCAGAACCCTTATTCCTGCAGGTTCTAGTCATTAATCACAGCATAATGAGATACATTTAAAATGATTTATTGTGTGTGTGTGTGTGTGTGTGTGTGTGTGTGTGTGTGTGCACGTGCACATGTGTATGAGTGGAGCCCAAGGAGGCCAGAAGAGGGCATCTGATCAGTTGGAGCTCGAGTTACAGGTGGCTGGGAGCTGCCTGCTGTGCATGCTGGGAACTAAAGTTTGTTCTTCTGGGATAGCAGGAAGTATTTTTAATTACCAGGTCATCTTCTCAGCCCCAGAATCTAGTATATTTTTCTTCTGCATCCAATGTATATGATGGCCATACATTGGATTTATTCAGACAAGCAGATTCTTTGGTGAATTCTTTTGAGAAGCTAACAAATTGTAGAAGAATTATTAAAGCACATATACTTAAAATACCCCATTCAACTTCAGAGGGTTGCAGATACTTCAAATCCACCATGGATCTTTCAGGACAACATCATAGCCCTAAGACCCACCAATATGCTTGGTTTGGTGCATAGATTGGCATAACACATATATGGGTTTTAGAATGCCTCAGTGGGCCAACATTTATGGTCTCTGATGTCTTTTCTAGCACAACAACATCTACAGCTCTCAGTTCACCAGGGTCAGGTTATTCAGATGCTCCAAATGACACATTTGTCAATGTGCTGAGATACAAACAAACAAAATTATGGAAGGATCTAGAAAACATGTTTTGTCTTGATATTACCAGCGACAGAGGTGAGAATGCCACACTAAAACCCATTGTGTCATGTTGTGGAATATTATTTTAACTAGGCAAAGATATGTTACATTTGTTTTTGCTGTGGAATATTTAACTATGTGAAGGCATGTTACATTTGTTTCTGTTGCCTTTGTTAATGATGTAAGGGTGTGTTACATTTGTTTAATTATGTAAAGATGTATTGCATTCCTTTCACCTTGCCTGCCTAAGGCACCAGACTGGTCTAGTAAAAAGCTGAATGGCCAATAACTAGGTAGGAGAGGGATAGGCAGGGTTGGCAGGCAGAGAAAATAAGTGGGAGGGGAAATCTAGGCAAAGGAGAAGCAGCAGGAGGAGAGAATGAGGGAGAGAAAGAGGGACACACCTGGGCCAGAAGTCAGGCAGCTGCCAGCCAGACATGGAGACAGAAGGAAAGAAAGATAGAAAGGAAGGAAGGAAAGAAGGAAGGAAGAGAGGGAGGGAGGGAGGGAGGGAACAGATTAAAGTAAGAGCTAAGATAAGGCCAAGCATTCATA